TTTTTTTTGAGACAGAGTCTTGCTCTGTCGCCCAGGCTGGAGTGCAGTGGCGTGATCTCAGCTCACTGCAACATCCATCTTTCGGGTTTAAGTGATTCTCTTGACTCAGCCTCCCGAGTAGCTTGGACTATAGGCATGTGCCATCACACGAGATTTCACCATGTTATCCAAGATGGTCTCTATCTCCTGCCCTTGTGATCCACCCACCTTGGCCTCCCAAAGTGCTGGGACTATAGAGGTGAGCCACTGCACCCAGCCCATGGTGGATATCTTAATTTTTCATATTAAAACTCACAAAGGCCAGGTGTGATGGCTCATGCCTGTAATCCCAGCATTTTGGGAGGCAGAGGCAGGCAGATTGCAAGGTCAGGAGTTTGAGACCAGCCTGGCCAATATGGTGAAACCTCATCTCTACCAAAACTACAAAAATTAGCCAGGTGTGGTAGTGTGTGCCTATAGTCCCAGCTACTTGGGAGACAGAGGCAGAAGAATTGCTTGAACCCAGGAGGCAGAGGTTGCAGTGAGCCAAGATCGTACCACTGACTCTAGCCTGGGAAACAGAGCGAGACTTTTAACTCAAAAGAAGAAAAACAAAAACTCTCACAGATCATTTTTTTTGTTTAAATTTTTTTGGTGAGACTGGGCATGGTGGCTTATGTTTGTAATCCCAGGACTTTGAGAGGCCAAAGGGAGAGGATCATCTGACTCCAGGAGTTTGGGACCAGCCTGGGCAATGTAGAGAGACCCCTGTCTACAAAATATAAATTTAAAAACATATTTAGTAATACGCAGTAGTGCATGCCCATAGTCCCAGCTACTTAGGAGTCTGAGATGGGAGTATCGCTTGAGCTTGGGAGATTGAGGCAGCAGTGAGCCATGAATGTACCACTGCACTCCAGCCTGGAAGACAGAGCGAGACCCTGTCTTAAAAAAAAAAAATTACTTTGGTGAAAAATAAGGGTAAATCTGTTTCAGCTGTGTTAATGGCTGTTCATAATCCTTCACTGAATGATCAGGATAGAACTCGAATCAGTTCTGCAGTTCTGCTTGCTCCTGGGATAATGCCACTGAGCTCCACAACCTGGTCTCAGTCAGTGCTTTCAAGCCCTCTGGAGGCTGCAGGGAGATTCCTTCCTTGCCTCTTCCAGCCTCTGGTGGCTGCTGCCTTCCTTGACTTGTGGCAGCATTGCTCCAGACTCTTCCTCCACGGTTTACAATGTCTCCTTCTTTCCTGTGTGTGTCACATTGAAGGATACATGTGATTGTATTTAGGGCCAACCTGGCTAATCCAGGATAATCTCTCTCATCTGAAGATCCGTGACTAAATCACATTTATGTACATGTTCCCCCAAGAAAGCACACTTTAGAGGCAATCAGGGCAGAATTTTGAATACTAGTCAGTTGCTACCTTGTTGACCTTGACCAAGCTCCTTCTTTGAATTTTACTTTCTTCATCTGCAAATGGAATTAATACATGCCTATCTCAGAGCATTTGAAAGGGTCCCGAGAAATGATGTTAATTGAAATACTACCTGAATTTATTTTTTCTTTACTTGGATTCAAAGCTTTGTTTGGACTCATCTTTGTATCTTTAGAGCCTGTCCCTGGCACATAGAGGTTGCCCAGTAAATGTTTCCTATCTAATTTTCTGTCCTCTGAAGGACAGCCTGCTATTGTACTGTCATGTACTGTGGGGGACAGTGGGGGACAGCCCGGTGGTGATGGCCCATCCAGAAACATTCTGTATGTGAGAGCTATGTCATTAATTAACCAAAGTGAGAGAGATGTGTGCAAAGCTGAGTCTGTAATGCTGTGGTTTCTGTATAAATATGCTAAATGGAGTGCATATCTGATTCAGGAAAAGAACTGTGGATCCCAAAAGGGGGAAATGAGACATGGAGAGTGACGTGAGTGCCTAGAAATCTACACACGTATTCATGCACACGTGCATGCATCATAAAGGATTATTTTTTCACCTTGGTGTTTTGTATTTGGGCTGTGTGTTAACAGTCAGTGTCAATGTCTGCCATCTGAGCTGTGGGCGATTCCCATGGCTGTGAGGTTTCTTCCAACTGACGTTGTTACTGAGAACAGGAATTAGTGATGTGGTGATGTGTGTCTTCTGTGGCTACCTGGTCAGCATTCATAAATGGTGGTAATGGATTGAATGCTGCAGTTTCAACCTTCCTGACAACAGGGGTGTTACTCTGGGGCTTGAAAAGCTATTGATCCAGCTGGGCCTTGGTTAATGAGTCATTTGGCTTACAGTGTTCCTGAGTCACAGGCTGTCCTGAAGATCACCTGCTGACTCATTGGCGCCCTTGCTTGCCCAAGGCCTCCTGCAGTGACGTGCAGAGGAAAGGAGCCCAGGTCTGCGGGTGGGGGACCGTCCTCTGAGAAGCCTGCAGCTTCTCCTCCAGGACTTTTCAGAACCCTTCCGCCCCACCTGGCTGGCTGTGGAGAGAAGGGCAGCTGGGAGCGTTGGAGAGGGAGGGAACTTAGAGAAGCAGTCGGAGGCACACTCGGAACCCTGGGGAAGGAAGTCCACCTCCCTGCAAATGTAGGGCAGTAAGAGGAGCCCTGGCACCAGCAGAGCAAGAAAGAAATGCTCTGAGACCACACGCACCATTCAGAATAAGCTGTCAGGTGATCTGGGTGTTTAATACTTACTTATTAATGATATGTGACATTTAGAATTTCTCGATGCCTATTTAAGATTGAACTAACCCTTTGAATCCTGGTGATGCTTTTGAGCTGCTCCTCTCAGGCGCTTCTGGCATCATGCTGGCAGACTCTGAGCAAGATCTTTAGAGGAATGAAAAACGAAAGGTATTTAAGTAGCAGTAAGTAGAGCAGACATTTGAGAGTTTGCTGGGTTCCAGTGTTATTTGAGTGCAAATGTTGGAAATGTAATCTGGATCTTCGGAGAATTTCTAAAGTGTTGGGAGAGGAGATTTGATGACCAGAAGCAATTAGACAACAGCATTCTAGGGTATAGAAGCAAACTAGTGGCCCGGCGCAGTGGCTCATGCCTGTAATCCTAACACTTTGGGAGTCTGAGGCGGGTAGATCAGAAGGTCAGGAGTTCAACACCAGCCTGGCCAACATGGTGAAACCCCATCTCTACTAAAAATACAAAAATCAGCTGGGTGTGGTGGCGGGCGCCTGTAGTCCCAGCTACTCAGGAGGCTGAGGCAGGATGATCGCTTGAACCCAAGAGGCGGAGATTGTAGTGAGCCGAGATTGATCGCACCACTGCACTCCAGCCTGGGCAACAGAGTGAGACTCTGCCTCAAAAAAAAAAAAAAAAAAAAAAAAAGCAAACTAGCAGATGTATGGTGAAGAGCTCACTGAGGACTGGGCTAATGGGAGTGGCTTCGTGCATTCACTCAGAAGTGATTGAGAGACTTCTGAGCCAGGGTTGGGTGTACACAGGGATGAAATATAGTCCCTTCCCTTTCCACGCCTATGTGGTAGCAAGGAGCAAGATTCGCAAACGGTTAAATTACAACACATCCTACCGTACAAGTATGAGAGAATGCTGAGGGAGAAGGCAGGTGTGAGCTGAGCCCTTACCACCAGAGCAAAGGAGAGGGTCTCTGTGCTTAGGTCAGTTTCACAGCTGTGTGGGGACAAATTGGAGTATTTTCCTAGCAGTCTTTAAACCGCTGGCTTCCATACTGCCTAACCTGTTTAAAATAACTATGAAGGAAAAAGATGCATTTGAATTATGATGATTGTAATGTTATTGACAGATCTTAGCCAGTAACTGTTTTCCTTTTCTCCTTAGTGTCAAATCAACAGTGCCTTGACGTCTTTCCACACTGCTTTGGAACTTGCAGTAGATCAGAGAGAAATTCAGCATGTCTGTCTGTATGAAATTGGTAAATATGAATGTCTGTCCAGCCTCTTGTTAGGAAGTAGTATTGATGGGTATTTTAGCATTCATGTCATTCGGTGTGTGTCTGCAAAATGCTTGGTGCCTTCTGTAGTAAGGACTTCAACTATTACCGTAGTACATGCAGTGATATTTCTCTCTCTGATTCTCATTACTTCTTCATAACATTTTTTTCTTCATAGCATTTTGATTTTAGGATAATAGTAATATTAAATGAATTGATTAAATGACTATAAATACCTTATTGGGCTGCACATTAGAATTCAAAACTCTTTGTTCCTCCTTCCCACCAATATTTACTTGAGAAGAAAAATAGGAGACAGTATCAAGTCCCAGTGTTTTTCACCAACTAGCTCTGAGATCTTAGATACGTTGCCCAAACCTTCCTAGCCACATAGTTGCCATTGGAGTTAAAGGCCCTCCCCTTGTGGCAGCTGTTAGGTTTAGATGACATGACATGTGAAGCCTCGTGCATGGGGCCTGGCACGGAAAGCCCTCCATACATGTTAGCTGCCACCTTCTGCTTCTCCCTTACGGGAGAGGCAGTCACAAACACACCTGGAGGTATTGATCTGCCTAAGACTTTCCCCTTTCTCCTCCAAAATTGTTGCTATGGGTCGTTGCTGACTGCGCTAAAACTCTGATCCTCTTACATTAGTAATTGCAAAATCCTTCTGTGTAACAGTTTCTCCATTGTGCTGGGAGGAGTAAACACAACTTGGAACTTGAAACGAAAAAAATTTTAAATAAGGGACTCAGACTTTTCAGAGTTTCAGCTTAGCTAATGCTATAAGGTCACGTCATGTAGCATATAAGAAAGGAATGACAGAGGCAAAGAGAAAGGAGAAATGATGAGATAGTGACGAGACTCCAAAGGGAAATTGAGCCTTAAAAAGCCTTCTGCAGAGGGGCAAGGAATTGGAGACAGAATGCTCAAGGAAGCAGTTGACACCTCTCAGTTTGTGGGGGGCAAGACCCTGTGCTGCCTGCCACTTGCTTTGCCTGCTGTGGGCACAAATGTCTTCCTGAATCCTTTTAAGGAAAACTGAAAAACCAAAATATTGCAAACTGCCCAGTAAACAATATTATGTTTTAAATGCCCGTTGTGGTCTGAAAAGAGGAAATGAAGTATAATCCAGTGGAAAATGTGTTTTTGTGTCATCTACATTCTGCTGGAGCTCTGCTTAGTAGCCATAATATAGAATGAAATGTGTTTCAAAGAACCTGAAGGAAAAAATGTAGCTTTGATGGCCTTTTGTTGGTGCATCATTTCAAGGCCTATGACAGGATAGAATGTTAGAGCAGAAGGAAGCTTAGAAATCATTCAACCCAGGCCTTAGGAAGGTTAACTGAGGAGCACATAGTGACTCAGGCTTCCAATTCAGGCTCAGAAGCTTGAGTTAGTACCTATTCCCGACTTATTCCTGACTTAATTCCTGAGTCAATACTTAATTCCATCTCTATTTTGTATTTAATTCAAATCTTACCCCAATTACACCTATAATCTCAGCCGTTTGGGAGGCTGAGGGGGACAGATTGCTTAAAGCCAGGAGTTCGAGACCAGCCTGGCCAACATGGTGAAACCGTCTTTACCAGAAATACAAAAATTAGCCAGGCCTGGTGGTGGGTGCCTGTAATTCCAGCTACTCAGGAGGCTGACGCAGGAGATTGGTTTCAACCCAGGAGGCAGAGGTTGCAGTGAGCTGAGATCCCACCACTGCATTCCAGCCTGGGTGACAGAGCGAGACTCCATTTCAAAAAAAAAAAAAAAAAAAAAAAAGCCCAAATTTTTACTCTGAACTATGTCAGCATCATATCCCATAGGATTTGACAGCAAATTTTCTGAATTGTGTATCTTGCCCACTCTTCCTCTCACAGTTTAAATGGCAAGTCTCAGTTTATACAGTTAGTGGTATACTTGATAACAGAATTTTTTTTAAGGAGGCAATATCATGTAAAGGAAAGTGTGTTGGACTTGGATCCACAGTTCTTCCTTCTTCTTAGCTGCATGGCTTCAGCAAGTTAGACACCTCTTGATACCTTAGTTTTTTTTTTTTTTTTTTTTTTTTTGAGTCAGGGTCTCACTCTGTCACCCAGGCTGGAGTGCAGTGGCGCAATCTCAGCTCACTGCAGCCCAGACCTTTCCGGCTCAGATGATCCTCCTACCCCAGTCTCCCAAGTAGCTGGAATTACTACCATGTCTGACTAATTTTTTGTAGAGACCGTATTTTGCCATGTTGCCTAGGCTGGTCTTGATCTCTTGGGCTCAAGTGATCCTCCCACCTCAGCCTCACAAAGTGCTAGGATTACAGGCATAGGATTAGTCCTTGCTAATACAAGGACACTGTTAGCCACCTTTGCAAGATTGTCATAAGAATTAGAGAGCGTTATATGAAGTGCCTACCACAGCACTGGTGCACATTAGGGGCTCAAATGATGGGAGTTACTGTGATGAAAACTGGGAATAAAATCCCTTACATTTTAGTTGCAGAAGTTCCTTACTAGGATGCCCATCTAACAGTGTTTTGATCCAGGAAGGTGGGGTTCTTTCTCTACCTGTGTGCTGAGGGAAGGTGAGCAAATACCTAATTTCTCATTGGCTTGCTCTCTAGATCTTAAGAAGTTTTGAGAATGAGTAGATCAAGCACAGTAGCTAACCCCTGTAATTCCAGCACTTTGGGAGGCTGATCACTTGAGGTCGGGAGTTCAAGACCAGCCTAGCCAACATGGTGAAACCCCATCTCTACTAAAAATACAAAATTAGCAGAGTATGGTAGCAGGTGACTGTAATCCCAGATACCTGGGAGGCTGAGGCAGGAGAGTCGCTTGAACCCTGGGGGCAGAAGTTGCAGTGAGCTAAGATCGCACAATTACACTCCAGCCTGGGGGAAAGAGCGAAACTCCATCTCAAGAAAAATTTTAAAAAGAGTGAGTAGTAGTTACAGAGTTTGTAATCAAATGGTGTTGCTTCCGCTGTTTGTTATTGCACCTGTGTGTACTCTGGGAGAAGTACTGCTGTGCTTGGGTTAACCTCACATCCGTTAGGACGTAAGTGGGAGTGTCTTTGTAGAAATTTTATGCCATTCTCTTCTGTGCTGTTTCATTGGTTGTCTGACTGAAACCTAAGTGCATTGTCTAATTCAAACTTTATATTGAAAGTATTTAAGGGAAAAAATAATTTCTTAGGTTTTCAGGTTAAAGTTTTTACGCATTTCATAGAACATGCACTGAGAATGATCACAGTTTCAGAGACTCGTGGCTTAAATAAGGGTCATAGATAGAGCTCAGTACTTTACGGTCATGTGCTAAATATATTTCTTTCATAGGTTGGTGCAGCATGATAGAGCTCAATTTCAAGGATGCGTTTGATTCCTTTGAGAGGCTAAAGAATGAGTCCAGGTGGTCCCAGTGCTATTATGCCTACTTGACTGCAGGTGAGTCGCCCATGGCCCCTCAGGCTCCCTCTCCCTGTTGTGAATTAGCTCACCTGACATGGGCAGACAGGAGAATGATGGCAGGAGGAAGCAAACGTTGTGCCCTTCCACAGCCTTCCCCAGCATGCTCTTGTTTTTTGCAATCAAGTAAATAGCACTGGAACACTGTGTTCACTGACCCAGGGGAACACCCAGAAATTCAGTCATGTCCAGGATGCCTCTTTGCCGCACGCTTCCCCTCTGGGCCTGGTTTAGTCCTGTTCTCTATCTTGGAAATGCATATTGTGAGGTCTTTCCAGTTATTGTACATTTTACCCTAAATGGCTTCAGCCTGTCTCTACTCCCTTACTTTTTATGCTATGTTTTTTATTTATTAGGATTCTGAAGAATTTTTAAGAATTGAACAGTCATTTATCATTGTGTTAATTTTTTTTTTGAGTCTGAGTCTTGCTCTGTTTCCCAGGTTGAAGTGCAGTGGCCTGATCACAGTTCACTCTATCCTCAACCTCCCAGGCTCAAGCCATCCTCCTGCCTCAGCCTCCAGAGTAGCTGGGACTACAGGCATGCCCAACACTCCCAGCTAATGTTTGAAAAAATTTTGTAGCAACAAGGTCTTACTGTGTTGCCCAGGATGATCTCTGACTTCCTGGGCTCGAGTGATCCTCCTGCCTCAGCCTCCCAAAGCACTGGGATTATAGGCATGAGTCACGGAGCCTGGCCTGTGTTAATATTTTTGTTTGGTTAGTGCTCTGGTTACAAAGTTGCATAGGTTTGAGTCATCTGCTCCAACCTTGTTTTACCTCCTAACCCTATTATATTTACAGTGTGATATTTCAGATGCAAGGTATTTCAACATTGCATATCATTAATAACACCTGTATTCTATTTTGAGTTTTTTTTTTTTTCCTTGTATGTGGAGGTAGAGATGTGCTGCCACCTGGTGGCCAAAATAGTTGTCTGCATCCTTCAATACCTAAAGGGCCATGTGATTTAGAATTGTAGAGGTGTGGAATTGAAGAAAGTGAAGCTGTTGTACATTTCCTGCCTTTAAGCAACTTCATGTAAGCCTTCTCTGGTTTATGTAATGAACTCTTCTCATGCAGCCACCTAAGAGATTCTTTTACTTAAAATTCAAGACTAATCCAAATCTTATTTTCAATACCTTCTTATTCTTAATGTTGAGATTTAATGAACCATCTTCCACTTCCATTCTTCCCTCTTAACTGATCTATTTAAAATAAGATAGAAATGATTAACATTGGCCAATAAGTATATTCTGGATATCTTAAATTCCCTATAAAATTGCATCAGTTCATTAATAGTGCAAAGCCCCCTTGCATCCATATTCCACATTGCAGTCCCCGTCAGACATGCATGTTCTCATGGCTCTGTCCCTGAAGTTTGAATAAGCTTCTTTTTCATATGCTGCATAATATGCTATTTCTCACACTTAAAGGGTTGTTGTATAAAATTTGACGTCTCAGATGAAAGTAGCAGCTATTTGTTGAGTGACTCATTGTGTTTAATACGTTGAAGAGTTGATTAACCCAGATTGAATACCCCAGAGTAAAGAGGTCTGCACACAACTCAGCAGCCATTAGGGGTCATTGGACTGCACAGTCAATGGTGGACAGCTGTTTATTTTTTCATCTCTGCTGAGCCTCAGTTACGTAAATGTACAGTGTGGCTGTAGAGAGGAACATTTATTCCCCCAATATTTGGAAATCCCAGGACCATATTACAGATAGGAGAGGATAAGCATGAAAGATTCTGATCTCTGTTTCTGCATGGGGATTTTGTAGAGAGGGTAAGATGTAGGTGAATAGCTCCACTACAAACAGTACATGAGGCAGGGAAGGAGCACCCATCACACCATCATGTAGGAGCTGCCTTTTGGGCTGGCCGTGAGCTAGAGGGGATGGGCATTCAGGGGCCCCAGACACTGCCACTAGGGCTTAGTTCCCCAGCATGTGAATGTTTTGTGTGACTATGTCAATAGTTTTGTACTTTTAAAAGTTGTGGTAAAATATATAGCAACATTTACCATTTGAACTTTTTTTAGGTGTACATGTCAGTGACACCAGATACACTCACATTGTTATGCAAACATCACCACATCCATCTCTGGAACTTCTTCATCATCCCAAACTCAAACTCTACCCATTAAGCAGGAACTCCCCATTCACTTTTCCCCCAAGAACCTGGTTACCACGCTTCTGCTTTCTATTTCTGTGAATTTAAATATTCTACCTATCTTGTGTGTAGGTGGAATATATTCATCCTTTTGTGTCCGGCTTATTTAGCATAGTGGCTTCAGGGTTCATCCGTGTTGTAACACGTGTCAGGATCTCCTTCGTTTTTTCAGGCTGAGTAATATTCCATAGTATGTATATGCCATATTGTTCATTCATTCATTGATGGACATGTGGGATGTTTTTAGCTATTGTGTGGAGTGCTTACCTGGAACATTTGTATAAAGGTACCTGTTCCAGTCCCTGCTTTCGATACCTTTGGGTAGATACCTAGAAGTAGAATTGCTTGATCATATACCTCTACTACTCTTACAACTTTTCTGTAAGTTTGAAATTATATCAAAATTATAAGTTACCAAAAAAGATTAGAATATCACATATGGGATTGTGTATACTTAGTCTTAATGGAAGAGCCAGTCATCCTAAGCTCTGCTTAGGCCTCATGTTTTAGGATAAACCAGAGACTCCCATGCTTTTAAACATCTGCATCTTTTAAAGCAACTGTCTGGCCATGCGTGGTGGTTCACACCTGTAATCCCAGCACTTTGAGAGACTGAGGCAAGCAGATCACCTGAGGTTGAGAGTTTGAGACCAGCCTGACCAACATGGAAAAGCCCCATCTCTACTAAAAATACAAAAAATTTAGCTGGGCATGGTGGCACATGCCTGTAATCCTAGCTACTCAGGAAGCTGAGGCAGGAGAATGGTTTGAACCTTGAACCCAGGAGGTGGAGGTTGCGGTGAGCCAAGGTTGTGCCATTGCACTCCAGCCTGGGCAACAAGAGCAAAACTCTGTCTCAAAAAAAAAAAAGCAACTATCTACTATAATTTTACTGCAAGAGAAATAGGTGGTATTTATTCTTCCAGGTCTGAGGTATGGATGTTTATAGACCTTTGGGGTGGTGGGTATACTGTTGCTGTTTATGACTGGCTTTAGTTATGTGACTCTATAAGAATGTTCTCAATAATCTGAGGATGATTTCAAGCTAGGGACAGCAAAAATATATTCTTTTTCACTGATTTACTGTGTGACCTTAGGCGCAATGCTCAGCTTTTCCGTATCTTTGCATCCTCTGATCTAGAAAATGATGGGATTGGTTGCACAAGACAGCCACTGAGCTTCATTCTGGTTTAGAAATGTTACAGCTGCAATTGATGAGGTCATATGGGATTGGTGCACACTCCCCCATCTGGACCAGGGATACCCCAGTGACTAGGAAAGGAATTCTCCCTTCTTTTGAATATTGAGTCATGTCACTCTTAATCTCAGTAGGAATCGGGTGCCTTTCCCATCGCCTTTGCATCCTCAGCTCTCTCCGACCCTCGTATGTTGGACCCTTGGGCTCTGCCGATGGTAGCCTATCCTGGTATGCACATGCCTGGGATAGGCAACTGCTTGACATGCCCAAATGCAAGTACGGGACCAACCTACTTTTAGGGGCGCTTAAGTAAAGAAGGGGGAACTAGGCACTGTGACTCACGCCTGTAATCCCAGCACTTTGGGAGACCAAGGTGGGCAGAGGCCAAGATGTTGAAACCCTGTCTCTACTAAAGATACAAAAATTAGCTGGGTATGGTGGTGTGTGCCTGTAGTCCCAGCTGCTCGGAAGGCTGATGCAGGAGAGTCACTTGAACTTGGGAGGTGGAGGTTGCAATGAGCTGAGATCGCACCACTGCACTCCAGCCTAGCAACAGAGTGAGACTCCGTCTTTTCAAAAAAGAAGAAGAATGAACTAGCGAATCAACTTTAGTACATTCCAACTGGGGAGTGAAAAACCACATATGAACTAACAAAAAATGGATAGAAATGGATTCAGCAGCATCAGAGCTGAGAGGAAAGGAAAGAGAGTGGTGGTAAAGTTTCAGGCAGGTGGTGGTGCTGCAGCCAGTGTGAAGTTTGCAGAAGGGACAGAGAAGACACAGCAAAGGGAGGATCATTAAATCTTTGGGGCCTGAGGTGAGAAGAGGGTGTGCAGATGATCAGAATCTCACTCATTCCTCAAGATGCCGCTTGACTTCTCCTAGCTCCTTACAGCATCTGGTCATGCCAGAGAGAAATGATCCCTTGACTTTCTGACCTTTCTGAAAAGCACGTTAGTTCTCCTACCCTAACGACTCCTATCACTACATACGTTGCAGCTTGTGGGGCCCCATGTGCGTGTGTGAGCAAGTGTGATCTCTTCCATTGAAATTTCATTTTCTTCAGGGTTCAAGCACATGTGTTTCTTCTTCACATTCTTGCTGGTGGCTTATAGGTAGTAGGCAGCCAAGGAGCATGGACAGGACAGGTTCATGACTTCCTAGCACAGGGAGATCCTCCTTCCACCTTGAAGCTGTCATGATCCTCCAGGTTCTTCATTGTTCTTTCTTAGGTTTCCATTTATTCCACTTTTGGAGCATGTGGGCTCTAACTAGGTTGTACACTGAGACCGTAGCTAAGGATTTTGTTATGTGAGAGCCTGTCTCCCCAACAAGAAGACAAAGACCACGGTTTTCCTCAAGTTCCGTCAAAGCTCCAGGAACACAGGCACTTGGAAAAGTGATCAGCAGGGTGGTGCAGTCCTTTGTGGAATAGTCTTTCCTTTTTGTTGAGACAGAGTCTCATTCTGTCCCCTAGGCTGGAGTACAGTGGCATCATCTCAGCTCACTGCAACCTCCACCTTCCAGGTTCAAGCGATTCTCCTGCCTCAGCCTCCTAAGTAGCTGGGATTACAGGCCTGTGCCACCATGCCTGGCTGATTTTTGTATTTTTAGTGGAGATGGGGTTTCGCCATGTTGGCTAGGCTGGTCTCAAATTCCTGACCTCAGGTGATCCACCTGCCTCAGCTTCCCAAAGTACCTTTCACAAACCAGCCCTTTGTGGAATGGTCTTTAAACATATTTGCCCCTGTTTTTGGTTGTTGTGTTTTTTTTTTCCAAGTATCATCAACTTCAGGTATCCCTTAGTGGCATTTTCCCTGACTTAAACTTCAGAAATATAATTATTGTTTTTTACAGTTTGTCAGGGAGCCACTGGTGATGTGGATGGGGCACAGATTGTCTTTAAAGAAGTTCAGAAACTCTTCAAAAGGAAAAACAATCAGATTGAACAGTTCTCAGTGAAAAAGGTATGTTGGAGCCTATTCATCTGCTGTAATACTTATGATGGGCATTTGTAACCAACACCCCCTTGGCAAGCTTTAGAAAATTGTATTTAAGGCTGCCGATTTACTTGCCATGTAAAATACAGTTTACCACCATGGAGAGAATTCTCTCCATGATTGTACCTCTGCTCTGAATAGAAGATTCTCACTTTGCTGCAAATAATGAAAGCAGATTTTTAAAAAATCGACCAGCCCTGCAGATACAGGGCCTCAAAACATTGGGTTAAGACTCACAGTTGTTCCCCTTCATGGAAATCTTTAGCAAAAGGTAAAAGATGTATATGAACTGAAGAGTAACCGGAGTATAGGTTTTTTTTGTTGTTGTTGTTTGTTTGTTTTTAATGAACGGAGACATTATACATTCTGCAGAGCTAATGAACACAACTCTAAAGAGAAAGATCTGTCTAAAGAATTAGGTGGTTTTGGCAGAATGCAAATTGGCAGGGCCTAGTGAGAAATGCAGGCTGTGAGGGGTTGAGAATAGGGAACGCCTCACATTTTGACGTAATAAAAAGCAAAAGTGTGTGTCACAGTTGCCAGCAGAAAGGCCCAAGACTGTAGACATGTTCCTAATGTATTCTATACTTTCGTGAATACAATTTTGCTGAATTACCTTGAGTTACATAACGTCTTATATGCTGAATTATCAGTTACTTTAGTTTTATATATTTTTATTGAATGAATAATGAAGTTTCTGAGTATAAATTAGATAATAATGTACAGCTGAGAGCACTGGCACGAAATAGAAAATTTTAAAATCAAGAGAACTGTAACTAAAAGATATCCCGTCTCAGCTCCTCCGTATAAGCCCGTTGAATTATTAGCTGTCGCCAAGCTTTATACATTCAGTTGATCTAAATGCACATGAATCTAGTTTCATCCCCAAGTTTTCAGAATGTATTCTGCATCTTGATAGTAGGTTCAGTTGAATCATGAATGAAAGGCATAATTTTCAGTATGTCAAAAATTGAAAGCAACATTTCTTATAGAGAGAGGAATTGTTATTCTTAGCTTTGAAGGAGAAGATCATTCACATTGATGATGAACTATGTGCTTTTAAAGTGTCCAAGGTATATTTTTTATGTGAATTTGTTCTTGGAAAATGGAGCCTGTTTATCCTAACTCCTGACAGGCAGAGCGATTTCGGAAGCAAACCCCAACCAAAGCACTCTGTGTGCTGGCGTCCATCGAAGTATTGTACTTGTGGAAAGCTCTTCCAAACTGTTCCTTCCCCAACCTGCAGAGGATGAGCCAAGGTAAGAAATTAAAAAAAAAAAAAAAAAAAAAAAAAAAAAAAACAAAACTCTGCACTGGACACATTGGCTTCTTTTGTCAGTGCTCATTCTTCAGTTACCCGTTTTTCTCATCCGATTTAGGGAGAGTACACACCTCTCCTTCTTAAAGGGTGTCGTGATGAAAGAAATCCTGTCACTTAGGTGATGGGAGGAGGAGGCAGCACTGCTGTGTATAGATCTGCTTGCCTTAAACGTGTGATGCTTTTGTTATAAATGTTATTCTGTAGCTGTGGGAGTTGCTGGAAGCATACATTTTTTCCCCCAATGAGAGTACTTTGTTTTGTTTAGGTGTGGTTCACATAAATTAAAAGATACTAAAGTGTGTCCTGGTGGGGTGGCTCACGCCTGTTATCCCAGCACTTTGGAAGGCCAAGGCAGGTAGACAGCTTCAGCCAGCAGTTTGAGACCAGCCTGGGCAACATGGTGAAATGCTGTCTCTACTAAAAATGCAAAAAATTATCTGGACACGGTGGTGTGCACTTATAGTCCCAGCTATTTGGGAAACTGAGGTGGGAGGATCATGTGAGCCCAGGATGTCGAGGCTGCAGTGAGCTTTGATCATGTTACACCACTCCAGCCTGAATGACAAGAGTGAGATCCTGCCTAAAAAGGAAAAATAGGAAAAGAAATATGTTCTTATTCATGTATGTGCTGCCTTTTCCCAAGAAACTTAGTATTGACAGCTTAGACATAATATTCTAGAGTTTGTAAGCCGCTGTTTCAGACTTTTCTCCAGTTACTCTTGTTTTTGACCAACTATGGCATGATCCATTGAGCCACGTATTTTTATCAGACCCTGCAAATCCCTTTTGCCTGTTTTTGTTGTTTGTTTGTTTTTGTTTTTGCATTTTGTTTTTTGTTTTTGAGACAGAGTCTCGCTTTGTCACCCAGGCTGGAGTAGTGCAGTGGCATGATCTCGGCTGACTGCAACCTCTGCCTCCTGGTTTCAGAAAAAAAAAGGCCTTTCCTCAAATGTGAAAACAAAACATTGCCAGTTGCCAGTGTTGCTATTCCAGAGATCAAAGGAACGAAACTCCTCCATAAGAAGCCGAGATCCTGCCATTGCACTCCAGCCTGGGCAACAAGAGCAAAACTCCATCTTAAAAAAAAAAAAGAAGCTTTGTACAGTGGCTCTGTGAGCCGAGTAGATGTGTAACCCTCCCAAGGAGGAACTGGAAAGGAAACAGAATATTCTTGGCTGTGTTAAATTCTGCTATGTTCTTTAAAAAAATTTTTTTTTATATTTTAGAGACAGGTCTCGTGTCACCCAGGCTGGGTGAAATGGTATATTTGTAACTCACTGCAGCCTCAAACTCCTGGGCTCAAGTGATCCTTCCACCTCAGTCTCCTGAGTAGCTGGGATTACAGGCATGTGCTACTGCACCTGGCTGCTGTATTTATTTTTAAAGTATTTGCATAATTCAAACCCCCCCCTTCTTATTGAAATAAGTATAGAACATCTACCAATGTCCAACTCAAAGGAACAATAAAGAATATTAAGTACATTTTTAATGTACAAGTACAGGATCACATGTTTAAAGATAAATTAAAATGCAAATATAAGGCAGGCAGTAATTAACATTCACAGGAACAACTATCAGTTAAGTGAGATTTGACAAAAAATTCTCTGAACCCCGTTCCAGGTATTAAAATGAAAAACTAACAACAAAAATGTGTGCCTGGAAGGGAAGACAGACAGCATCTGAAGTGAGCATGAGATAATTATCTAATATCTTTGCTAAATTTAACCCAGTTCTGAGATCTATTAATTAGATTATATCATTCTTCAATGGCAAGCAGCAATGGTACAAACTGATCCAACCACATCAGTACAATGAAGATCTTTGTAGAGAAATAGTTATGTTCCAGAAAAAACTGATAGCGGCAATGTGGATCATAAGCATTTATTAAACTCTGCATCATGCCCTCCCAGTTTTGTGCATTCAGCTTATCAGAGTCCCCATCTGTATCTCCCTGCACCAGCCGAGCTAGTGAGAATCCTATATCCTTATCGTTTTATCCATAACCTTTTCCCCACCCACCTGCCCTTCTCCACTGCATTCTTCCTCTGCGTTGTTTTTTCTTGTTTTTGTTTTTGAGACAGGTTCATGCTATCTCGCCCAGGCTGGAGTGCAGTAGTGTGATCACAGTTCACTGCAACCTCTGCCTCCCTGGCTCAAGCGATCCACCCACCTCAGTCTCCTGATTAGCTGGGACCACACCAGCTATTAAAAAAAAAAAAATTGTAGAGATGGGGTCTTGCCATATTGCCTAGGTTGGTCTTCAACTCCTGGGCTCAAGTGATCCTCTCGCCCTGGTCTTCCAAAGTGTGGGGATTACAGGTGTGAGCCACCATGCCCAGCTACATTGTAAACATGTTTGTATTCTAGGCCCAGCAGGCAGAGTGATCTTATTAAAACCTAATCATGTTGTGTCACTCTGTTTCCCAGAATCCTCTATGGTCTCTCATCTCATTCAGAGTAAAAAGCCCAAGTCCTTTCAGCGGCAGGCAGTGCTCCCAGTCTGTAACCCCTGAGGCAGTTATCCCTCCCTGCTCTTCCCCCTTGCCCAGCACAGCCCTCCTCCCTGCTCTTGGACACAAGCAGCCTCTATGACTTTGCACTTGCTCTTCTCTCTGAGAAAGAATTTTTTGTTTGTTTTGTCATTGTTGTATTCCAAGCACCTAGAACTGCCTGGCAAACAGTAGTGCTCAATAACAATTGAATGAATGAGGAATGAATGAATGAATGAACGAACAAGTGAATGAACTGCATTAATGTTTCCTTAATGTTGCTGCCTTAGGAGCCTGAGTTCTTTTTCTTATGACCATATTCCCAGCCTGGCTTTCTGGGGCAACTCCTGCTTCTACAAGATCAGCTTCTATTTACCTCTTCCTCTCGCCTTCAAGTTACTTGTTCTATAACTTGAGTTCTGTCTTTCTCTCTCTGTCTCTCTCTCTCTCTCTGTATATGTGTGTATATATATATATTTTGTTTGTTTGTTTTTGAGATGAAGTCTTGCTATGTCACCCAGGCTGGAGTGCAGTGGGCACAGTCTTGGCTCACTGCAACCTCTGCCTCCTGGGTTCAGGTGATTCTCCTGCCGCAGCCTCCTGAGTAGCTAGGACTATAGGCGTCCGACACCACAGCCAGCTAATTTTTGTATTTATTTTAGTAGAGACAGGGTTTCACCATGTTTTACATGGTCATGTAAAGACCATGTTGGCCAGGATGGTCTCGATCCCTTGACCTTGTGATCCACCCACCTTGGCCTCCCAAAGTGCTGGGATTACAGGCATGAGCCACTGCACCTGGCCTATATATATATATATACACACACACACTTTCACATTATAATATAAATGATAAATACATGCATAATATTCAGTAAGATATATATCTTGTTGAATCACAGTATCTTTATTAGTCTTCAGAAATAATTGTATTACTTCCTTTCTTCCTCATTATGTTTCCATTTTGCATCTTTCCCATTTCCTTGGAAAACTCCTGTAACATTCTCCAACCTGTGTGTCCATCCCCCACGGCTTGCTAATGAAGTGGAGGGATCAGTTCTGATCCCCTCTCGCTGACTAGTATAGTACCTCATACAAACAGAAAGGTGCCTATGGCATGGCAGCTTAATGTGAAGTTGTTTTTAAGAAATTAACAGAACTTCTTTTAAGAGCAGTTTTTTTTAGGTTCATAGCAAAATTGAGCAGAAAGTCCAGAGTCCCCACATGCCCCTACCCACCCCTGTCCTTCCTGACTACTAACATCAGGGTGGTACATTTGTTACAGTCTGTGAACCATCATTGACACATCGTAATCACCCAAAGTCCCTAGTTAACAGTAGGGTTCACTCAGTGAACAAACAGTAGGGTTGGGACCATTGTATAATGATGTGTCTACCGTGATGATATCACACAGTATTTTCATTGCCCTAAAAATTCTTTGTGCTCCACCTACTCATCCCTCCCTCTCCCCTCACCCCTGGCAACCACTGACATTTTTACTGGATTCATAGTTTTACCTTTTCCAAAATGTCATATGGTTCATAGTTCATAGAATCATACAGTATGTGTCTTTTCAGATTGGCGTTTTTCACAAGGTAATGATGTGTTGCAATTTGAGTTTTCTTGGCTCTATGAAGTTTGGTATTTTTGCCTTTCTTTGTCTTAGGCTACTCACTAATGGATGAGGAATGGGTGCCTTCTGAGTTTTAGGAGGCAGCAACATGAACTGAAATATTCACTTCACTCTTCATGATATTGAAGGAATTAAGTGAATGCATTTTCTTACTGCTCTGCTCACTCCCCTTCTTTTCAAGCTTGCCATGCAGTGGATGATTCATCTGTTGTTGGATTAAAGTATTTGCTTCTTGGTGCCATACACAAATGCCTAGGAAACTCAGAAGATGCTGTTCAGGTAAACTGTTAATGTTGTCAGGGCTAAAGAAAATAAATCATGAACACCTACATATGTGCTTGTGAATAAGAAAAATGAAAAAGCACTAAACAAAACCAAACCTCCCACTATTGATTAATGCCATTGTCTCAGATGCTAGAAGTTGATGATGGTTAATACTAGTTTTTACTTTAGATTCTTAGAATGCTTCTTTATATATGGACTCCTTTTCTGGCATTTGTATTTATCAAAGATGACAGTCTCTACATGAGAGAGGAGGACATGAGGAGGCAGACAAGTTTGAAGGAGCTGAATGAAGCCTCATAGTTAGACAAGAACAAAAATGATCGGACATGCCAGTCTTTATAACTGCAGATTATTGATGCAGTCCTGGGGGTTGGCGAGAGAGTTGTTGGCTTAGGACAGTCTGTGTACATATTATATAAAAAAGAATTATTAATTATTTTTAAATATAGTTGGAAGGATTTTTCTAAACAATTTTTTTTTGTGAGATTGGTTATTTTGAAGAAGTATGTATCAGTGTTACTTTGACTACACTTTGAAAGAATCAGGGTACAGTGGCTGGGTGCAGTGGCTCACACCTGTAATCCCAGCACTTTGGGAGGCCAAGGCGGGCAGATCACTCGAGGTCAGGAGTTTGAGACCAGCCTGGCCAACATAGTGAAACCCTGTCTCTACTAAAAATACAAAAATTAGCCAGGTGTGGTGGCACATGCCTGTAATCCCAGCTATTCAGGAGGCTGAGACACAAGAATTGCTTGAATCCAGAAGGCTGAGGTTGCAGTGAGCCAAGATTGCACCACTGCCCTCCAGCCTGGGTGACAGAGCAAGACTCTGTCTCAAAAAAAAGGAATCAGTGTACAGTATTAGGATACTTTTGGCTTTTAAATCCTAGATAATAATGTCATTGTAACTTTAGTCTTTCACTGTGGGCTTATGGTAGTTATTACAGCCCTAAAGAGCTTATTTTAGATCAAATGCTTAAGTGCTCACAAGATACAATCAAGACACATGTCAAGAGATGGTAGTTGCCTTGTGTGTTTTCTGTTTTAAATATTAAAATGGGATGTTTACACTCTTAGATACAGATAAACATGTTCTTAGTAATAAATCAGTAGAGGTTAATATGTGCCCTGGAAAAATAAGTAGCACAGATTAGTCTGATATATTCGAAGGAATGCACATCAGGCAGCATGTAAAGAACTTCTCAGATACAAATAGGAAGGAATGAAGATGAGGAAAGAAGAAAAAATCTGATCTAGAAAACAGAGTATGAGTCCCCCTTCCCACCAGCTCTTGAAGATTGTAATAAGCCTTATGCTAAGTAGGAAAATGAATTCATCCAATAACACTTGCATCCCTTTCAGTACTTCCAGCGGGCTGTGAAGGATGAATTGTGTCGTCAGAATAACTTGTATGTTCAGCCTTATGCCTGTTATGAACTTGGCTGTCTTCTATTAGACAAACCAGAGGTAAGATCTTATGTATGTATATTTTAATAATGTTCATCAACAGAAATGTAGAAGTGAGCAAACACAAAGCATCTTTCATTTAAAACAAATTGATTCAACACAGTTTTCTTCACTTTGTTTTCCTTGATTTCACTTACGATGAGTCCAAGAAGCTAGTAATACTATCTTACTCTCTTTAAGTAGCTAATTTCTTCCCAAGAATTCAAATTACAGTCATACATCTCTCAACGACATTCTGAGAAAGGTGCTGTCAGGCGATTCCTTCGTTGTGCAAATATCAGAGTAGAGTGTACTTACACAAACCTAGATGGTATCACCTACTACACAACCAGGCTGTACCAATAGCCTGTTGCTCGGGGCTAGAATCCTGCACAGCATGTTACTATATTGAATACTATAGGCAACTGTAACACAGTGTTAAGTATTTGTGTATCTAAATGTAGAAAAAGTATAGGAAAAACACAGTTTTTAAAAGATAAAATATGACCAGGCCCAGTGGCTCATGCCTGTAATCCCAGCAGTTTGGGAGGCTGAGGCAGGAGTATCACTTGAGCCCAGAGGTTCAAAACCAACCTGGGCAACAAAGACAACCCTCATCTCTATAAAAAAGAAAAAAGCAAAAAACAGTCAGGTATGGCAGCACATGCCTGTAGCTGCAGTTAACCTAGGGGCTGAGGTGAGAGGATCTCTGGAGTTTGAGGTTGCAGTGAGCCATGATTGTGCCACCACACTCCAGCCTGAGCAACAGAGCAAGACTCTGTCTCAAAAAAAAAAAAAAAAAAAAAGAAAGAAAGGTTATAGCTGTATAACTTACTATCTAATCATTAATTTTAAGGTTGTTTAGTAAGATTTTAAACTAATATATTTTAGAGCTTACCTTTTATAGACTATGAAAAATTATTTATCAAGTAATTATATATCAAGTAATGTCCTCCTATAGACAAATAAACATCTTTATATTAAAAATATTGGGGCTGGGCACAGTGGCTCACACCTATAGTCCCAGCACTTTGGGAGGTCAAGGTGGTGGATCACCTGAGGTTTGAGACCAGCCTGGCCAACATAGCGAAATGCTGTCTCTACTAAAAATACAAAAAATTAGCTTGGCGTAGTGGCAGGCACCTGTAAACCCAGCTATTCAGGAGGCTGAGGCAGGATAATTGCTTGAACATGGGAGGCAGAGGTTCCAGTGAGCCAAGATCTTGCCACTGCACACCACACTCCAGCCTGGACATCAGAGTGAAATTCCATCTGAAAAAAGAAAGAATATTGGAGTCATTATGCTTGAATGAACAGTTTGACTCACTGCTGTGTCTACTGTGAATTGTTTTAATTAACATAGCCTCCTTGTACCATTTTCTGCCTGCATATATGTAAACACAGATTTTAAGGGATAATGTGTTTCTCTTATAGACTGTAGGAAGAGGCAGAACTCTACTTCTTCAAGCAAAGGTAAATATCCTGAATCTACCTTTCTCCAGTGGCCTTTCTTATCCCGTACAGTGTACACCTGAGTCTGAATTCAAGAAAGTTTATGCAGTGATGTTCTGGTTGGTAATATTTCTGGAAAGGAAAAATGATAACCACTTGAATCAGTGAGCTCTTGAGTTTTAAGGGAAATTACAAGATCATAAGGAACTCCTATGAAATGGTTCATCCTGCTTTAGAAACACTCTTAGTGTTTGGGTGGGAAAATAACTTTAGATTTTATAACTATGTCCTTGAATTAAGAATTTCTAACAGTAACTTATATTGAGCACAATGTAAGACTACTTTTTCAAGAATAACATGAGGAAAATTGTCCAAAGAGAACATTATTGACATTCAGTTGCTGTTTTCAAAAATAAATACAAAGTTTGAGGTTGAGTAATATGAAAATCAAGTGGATGGGAAGCCTTTACTAGGAGTGTAGAGATTTTACTTTGGGAAGTACAAAACTGAGTGTGCTTTATACCACAGTACCCTGTGCAAGCTTAGCTAACAGAGGGCATAAATATCTTTCTTTGATCTTACAGGAGGATTTCTCTGGCTACGACTTTGAAAACAGATTGCATGTCCGCATCCATGCTGCTCTGGCCTCTCTGAGGGAATTAGTTCCTCAGTGACAGACCCGGAACACCTGCTCTGTCCCTCCCCACCCAGGGTCCGCACTTTAAAATAAAAGCAGAGGACAAAGCTCTTGTGAAGATCGGCTTTTCTTCTGAAAACCACCTGTGCCAGGGACACATTTTCCCACTTAAGCTGACATATTAAAGATCTCCTCTTTTAAACATGTAGCTAAAAAGTAATAATGATGCTGAGGAGGATGATGATGGTTATAACTAACCACCCAGGGAGAGGGTTAAGTGACCTTGCTCGTTTTAGTTTCGTGATTTATTATTTTTAAAAATCAAACAAAATATCCAACCCAAGATCCTGTAGGAACACCTACTGTAAGCACATATCTGAATGGGTAACATACCTGTAAATTATTAACAATATCATGACATAACATTTATATTTGTGTTTTGAAAAAATAAAAGTGCTTTCTAGCATTTTACTTTATCTTCACAACTCCAGTGAATAACATAGCACAGATAAGAATTCTTAACCCCCCTTTGCAGACAGTGAAACTCAGGCACAGAAAGGCTAATTGACTTATCCCAATTAATTATTCCTGTTATCAGCAGAGCAATGAATAGAAAGCAGATCTCCTGACCAACTGTTCTTTTTATTATAAAAATAATTCATGTTAATAGGCCAGAATTCCATGCTTTACTTATTAAAAGAACAAAATCTTCAGTTGAAGTTATGTCAACATAAATACTCATCTCCAGATTGTCTACAGAATGTTTCAAAGTGATGGACACTCTTTTCCTTCGAAAGCCAACCAAGTAGCAAATATTAATAGAAGATAATTTTACAACTAAAAGTGTAACCCTTTTGCTAATCTATTAGAAGGCATAGTCTATAGATTAGACAAATAATATCTACATTTTGGGAGTTTTCCTTTCTTTCTGAAAATTGTCAAATTACCAACTTTTGGAAATCTTTTAACAAATGACTTGAAAGATTATTTGTGAATGAACATAGATTTTTGCCTCAAAATATTTGCTGGTGGAACATTTGCTGGGCTACACAGTGCCAGGTTTTAATCATTTTTCCCTTAGCTCAGGTTATTTAGATATTATAAAAGGAATTCAAAGTTATTTTTTTATCCTTCATTTCTAATTTTTATTGTCATTTAATTTACCTCCATGCCCAGTACTGCAAACCTGTGGTTTTGAAGAATCTAAATACCTCAGTCACTTTTAAGAATCTCTGCCATATTTTGCTCAATGTTTAAGGTTAGGTTTTTAAAGAAATTTTTATTGAGCAAAAGGGTATCATTTTAGAGTATCGTTATTTACAAATTCTTTTGGCTGAAGCATGATCTCATGATATTAATATTTTAATATTTCTTTTCAAAATAAAACAGAAAAGCAAGTAGAATGTTGGCAAATTTAATCTGATTTGACCTTGTTTTGAAGGAATAATCATAATTTCTTTGAAAGAAGTTATTTCTCACTGACTTTGGCAAAACTATATTCATGTTTCTTCATCTGTGTTACTGACCACTTTTCAGTAGACTGTTTCCAAAGCTGTTTATTCACATTGACTTTCTCTTGATGTGAATTCGGTGTGGATTTTACATAATAGTAAGAGAGAAGAGATTGCTCTCCTATATTCAGTGTATGAGAGCCTCCAGAAGTCAAGAAGGGAACTTTTTTCTGAAGAGAAAAATTGGTGTCCAAAATATTGGATATCTGGTTTTACCTAGACTGAAGGGAAGAAGAACATTGTGAATCTTTAAAATACGGCTATTGCCATTTTGTTCTCTTCTTAACGTGCAGCATAGGTGACAAGCTTTTCTGTAGTGATCATGGGAGCATTCTGAATCATGGCATTCTTGTTTCAGAGTTCATTCTTGAATTTTCAGTTTAAAATATTGTTTGAACTATTACTCCATATTCAAAGATTACATAATTGACTCTTTTTCAAAAGATTTATTTCTGCCTGCTTACAAAACTACATTTATTTCCCCATAGAGGGTTCAGGACTTCAAATGAGTTTGTGTTCAGCTCACTTACCTGGATAGACAATTTTGTGTTTTGCAACACCATCCTGTAGGTTTTCTGTGGTCAAAGTGTAGGTCTTTTTAAAATTTTATTTATTTTGAGATGGAATCTCATTCTGTCATCCAGGCTGGAGTGCAGTGGTGCCATCTAGGCTCTGTCACCCAGGTTCAAGCAATTCTCCTGCCTCAGCCTCCAGAGTAGCTGGGATTACAGGTGCCTGCCACCACGCCTAATTTTTATAGTTTTAGTAGAGACGGGATTTCACCATCTTAGCCAGGCAAGTCTTGAACTCTTGACCTCGTGATCCACCCGCCTCGGCCACCCAAAGTGCTGGGATTTCAGGCATGAGCCACTGCGCCCAGCCAGGTTTTTTTTTGTTTGTTTGTTTTTTTTAAAGAGTCTATCCTAGGCTTGGTACAGATGGCCCCCTTGGAACATCTATGTTAACATGGTGGTAGACCATGGAGAGTGGGTAGATGGAGCTTCTAGACTCCAAAACAAAATCATAGTGTGAGTGCACTGTCCCATTAGATTGACTGAAGTCTGAGTACATTTTCTGGCCTGCGTGCTGTGACTCATCCAACCTGTGAACTGCTTGTGATCCGCCTGGTAACTTGGTTTGGTGTAAACTGCTCTTAACCCTTTGCTGATGAAGACAATAATCATATAAGTGGAACTATTTGCATCTATGTGTGTTTCTTTTTTTATGTTGTCATCACTTACTCCTTCCCCTTTCCTATTTTGGAGGCTCTCAATGGATCTTCTAATTTTTAAATGTCAAATATATTTTTGTATTAGATTGTGCCTATGATGAGAGAAATCTCTAATGTATATTTTATGTATGCTGAACACTTTTATAAATTGACACACTTGGAGGCATGGTCTAGTAATAATAATGTAATATGTACCTTGCTGGTTAATATAACTAAGATTTTACCTTCAATGGGTTAGGTATCTTTTTTATTTTAGCACCTGATAGCTGTCTTCTACTGAGTAAAGAATTATAACTTTTAGATGTCACAGAAAATTAGAATATTTATTGTCACATATTGTGTAAGTCAATTATTTACCGAATTTGCACTTTTCTGTCTCTGCCAGCTAAAGTTAAAGGACAAGTCATATCTGATTTTTAAAATGAGCACATGTGCTCACGTGCATGTGTGCGCGCGCGCATACACACACACACACGCTGCTTTGCTGTATAAACTTTTCCATCGGATTTCTTCCTTGAGTAAATCATGGTGGCAGGTGTTCAAACGTGGCCTTACACTATGAAGATACACATTCACAGAGTCATGATGTACTGTTTTGGTTTCTGTGGATGGTATATTTTGTAGAAAGACTATTGTTAAATTGAGATCATCCAAGAATATATATAGTTGAGGCAGATACTTCAGAAGCTAGAAGAAGAAATGCAGAAAGAGAAAAGGATAGGGGAGCAAGAAAAAAAGTTGGTCCATAACAGATATGCTCCTTCCTCAGTAAAGTATGCAGAAATCACCAAGAGCACAATGTAACTGGCTTTCTTGTGAAAACTAGCAAGGGTATCACCTAGTTGACTTGGGTGTGAAATAGAAGCAACACATTTGAAACCCAGGTGATCTCTATGTAATGCTTAGTTCCTCTTCCCAGAGGCCAGTGGTTGTCAATTTTCGTGTTTTACATAGAGATTCTGATTTGATAGGTTTGAGTTAGGGCTTGGGAAGGCATTTTTAACAAGCTCCTGGGATGATTTCTTATGCAGATGATGTGGATTAGAGAAGCATTGCCTTATTTATCTTTTGTTAAGTATTTAGTAAAACTGGGAGAAGAGTCAAACACAAGCAGAAGTATGTAGAATTATGTAGCAAGGGTAAGTCATAGAGCATACATCATGGGGCCACTGAGAAAATGCTTCTAACTCAGTGGCTTCCTAAAGTAGGAGATTTCTGAGATGAGTTTTAAAGGATAAGCAGGATCCAGTCAGGTGAAAACACTTGCTGGAGCAGCATCCAAGGCCTTGGACCTGATGCGCAAAAAGCACAGAGGTGACAAATGCCATGTATGTTCAAGACTCTGGAGGGTCAAGTGGGAACCACGTGGTGAGAGATGAAATAGGAGAGGTATGCAGAGGCCACACCCAGAACCATGGACTTCCACAGGGTAAGGATTTGGGGTGTGGGGGAGGGGCAGTAGAAAAGAAGACAGAGTTGCATTTTAAATCACTGGTGACCAACAAATAAAATACTGGTGACTGAAAAGGAGGCCAAGGCCAACATTGTGAAACCACATCAAATCATTAAGAGTTCAAGAAATGAAAGCAGCAGATGGGCAATGGTTTGAAAGTTCTTGGTTGGATGTTTTCATTGAAACAATTTGCATTTCAGAGTGACTCAACCAAAACATTGCAATGAGGAAAGAGTAAAATCTTATTTTCTGAGTTACAGGTATTTCTGCATAATACCGTACACCTAATAGATGCTTGAGATGACCCACCCAGGTTGGGTTAAACAACCATAAATGTCTCCAGTTCCAAAAAACACCATAGATGAGGTCTCAGTGTTTGTACTTAGGATTTTTAGTAGTTCAGTTCATTATTTCTCTGATAGCTCAATGTATTATAAACCAAGCCATCAGAAATCATGACAACCTCATCCCACTTTTATTTACATTACCAAAGTGGTGCTGGAGGCAAGTGATGAAGGATGAAAACTGTATCATCGGCAGACCCACCAACACAGTCTAAAAGCATTTCTCCCGCTTTTTTTCTTTGTTTTTTTTTTTGAGATGTCTCGCTATTTCTCCCTTTTTAAGTGTGTAATCTTCCCAAGAAGAGGGAACTTGCCTGGCTCTCAGCAATTATTAAATGGTTTAATGAATGACCCCAGATAATGCTGACTGACCTTAACATTGCCTTTTATTGCAAAGTGCTCTGGAAGACCTAATATTTTCTGAATTAAAAAATAGGTTTTATTTTTTTTGTTGTTGTTGTTGTTAGATATTTGCCCTGATGATTCTCTTTGGTTTAAAGTAGTTGCTTTTCTTTTTGAGACAGACTCTTGCTGAGTAGCTGGGACTACAGGTGCATCACGACTGGCTAATTTTTTTGTATTTTAGTAGAGACGAGGTTTCACCATGGCCAGGATGATCTCAATCTCCTGACCTCATGAGTGGCCTGCCTTAGCCTTCCAAAGTGCTGAGATTACAGGCGTGAGCTACCACGCCCGGCCACAGTAGTTGCTTTTTAAACATTTGAAGATGGATCAAAATTAAGGCTCCTTGTACTCCAATAATCATGATTATGGTGTTAAATGACCCCCGCCCAAATACCTGAGCCTAAACGAGTGAAAGAGCACAGAGTGGGCGTTTTTAAACGTAACAACATTCCTTTAGTTTGGTAACACTGAGTGGAAGTTACACGCAGTAACCCTTTCACTTGCAACTTGCCCCTGACGGTGTGCTTTTGAGGGACAGATGGTGCCTGATCTCAACCATGGAGAAACAAGAAATTTCGGGATTCATGCTGAACTCCCATTCCACAGGAGAGTCTCCCAAAAGAAAAAGTACTGTGTTGCATAAAGTTATTCACTCTTTATGTCTACACCGCGGCAGAAATTATTCTTCCTAAAGGTCACGGAAGAGAGCTATAGTTTTGGGGGCCAGGAGCAGTGTGTGAAATGGCGAGGCAGCGACAGCAAGACAGCACCAGCATAAATCTATTTCCTTCCAAACTAGCTTTAATTTTAGGCCTAACGACCAAAGGTGGAGAGGCGACGCTTTGAGCTACTCCTGGCCGTTTGTTTGGAAATAAATTCACCTGAATTCCTTCAGATTTAGCCAGAAAAGACGAAATATGCCTCCCTCGCCGGCCACATTACGGCCTTCCTCGCTCTCAGCTTCTCATCGACTGCAGCCGCTGTGGCCCCGCCCCCTTGCGTGCGTGCGGGGCTTTGTGACGCACGCCCTGGCGCGCCTCCGGGGCTATAAAAAGGCCCGCAAGGATCAGGCCTCCTCAGGAGCCGCCCGCAAGCGGGTAACGAGGAAGCTCTTAAGAACGCAGCCGTCAAGAAGGTGGGGAGAGTCTGGGGAAAAGGCGCACCCTGCGGCCTCGGAGACAGTTATGCCTCAGGCCGTCTCGCGTAACTGGAGAGGTCGTGGGGGCCCCAAGCAGAGGGTCCTCGGAGTTGGGGGCCTGTGGGGCGGCACCGCCCACAGCAGGGAGTGCGGCCAGCGGATTGCCAGCGCTGTGGTGGCGCTCCCGAATCCGGGCCTTGGCGGGTCCGTCGCTCACCTCCTGAACGAGTGCAGGCGAAATGAGCACGCCTAGCCTCCTACGTCTCACTCTCCTCTCTCCCAAAGAGACCAAACCAAGTGCAAAACGAGGAGCAGGGACACAGCTGGGGCCCACACACAGGAGGTGGTTTTTTTTTTTTTTTCAGCGGGGGCCCACACACCAGAGTTTGTTTGTTTTTTTGTTGTTTTTGTTTTTTTGACGGAGTCTCGCTTTAGGGAGGAGTTGGAGAGTGCGGTTTCCGTTACCTGTGGTCCCGAAGACCCCGCTCGCTTCCTGAAAGGCATCGTGTTTCTTGCTTATGGCGTGACCCTTGTGACAGCGGGCGCAGGGACATTTGCAGTTGGGCGAGGGAGGGTTTACTTGTGCTAGTGTTGGACCAGTATTGTTGATAGGAGAGATCTGGGGAGAATATTAAGCTGTCGCTCTTAACCCTAATAGTGTTTGTGACGATTTCACCCGTTGATTTTTCTCAGGTAGTTCAGGATCGTTCTTTGTGGGGAACCTGATCTGTAGGATGTTTAGCGTCCCTGGCCCCACACGTTCCCAAAGTCGGAGTGAGAACTAGGACGGGGGAGCATGGAGTGCATGGCCGCTGTCCCCACTGTTGGTAGCACCAACTGCTAACTGCCTCCTGAAAGGTTGTTGGCGCCATCGTGGTTTCTGGGAGCCTTAACGGACTATCTACTACTCACCTTGGGTACTGAAAGAAAATTATACATATGATATATATGAGTGCTGCCTGTGCCCATTAGCATTTAGCATGTGGGCCTGCCGAAGCCCCAGTTTCAATTTTTTAAAAAAATTGTTACATGAGATGTCTGGATTCAGGCATACAATGTTAATCACATTATGGGGAATGGGGCATCTGTCCCCTCAAGCTTTTATCCTTTGTGTTACAGACAATCCAGTTACACTCTATTTTAAATGTACAATTAACTTCTTGACTATAGTTACCCTGTGGTGCTATCTCACAGTAGGTTTTATTCATTTTTTATACCCATTAACCGGCCCCACTTTCCCCCTCCCCTACCTAGGCCCCCACTACCCTTCCCAACTTCTGGTAACCATCCTTCTGCTCTGTCCATGGGTTCAATTGTTTCGATTTTTAGCTACCACAAATAAGAGACCATGTAATGTTTTTCTTTATGTGCCTCACTTATTTCACTTAAGGTAATAATCTCCAGTTCCATCCACTTTGTTGCAAATGACAGGATCTCATTCTTTTTTAATGGCTGAATAGTACTCCATTGTATGTACCACATTTGCTTTATCCATTCATCTGTTGATAGACACTTAGGTAGGTTGCTTCCAAATCTTAGCTATTGTCAACAGTGCTGCAACAAACATGGGAATACAGGTATCTCTTCGGTGTATGATTTCCATTCTTTTGGGTATATACCCGGCAGTGGGATTGCTGGATCACTTCTGATTTTTTAAAGATGGTTTAATTCAGTAAATCTGTCGAATGATACTGTGAAAGGAAGTTTTCATTAAGGGTGTGCTTTGGCCAGATTCATTTTGTCCTGACCTTTGGGAAGATGAGATGTGCTTTTAAGTATTCAACATTTTGCTATATTAGTTACTTTATAATAGAACCTGGGCCCTTCTATAATTGTTATAACTAAACTATGCCACTTAGCCCCATGAAACTCATTATTTACTGCAGGGATGTTGCTGAGGACATCACACCATTTGCTTCACAAGGACTCGGGGGAGAAATTTCTCCTGGGTTTTGGTATCCAGAATAGCTGTGGTTCTCCCAAGCAACTGATTTTTCACCTCAGGAAACCTGAATCATTTAACCACCTGTTTCCTATTTTGTGATGGCAGCTTGGCAGCTCAGGGACAGATTTGATACCCATCTTTATCAAAGTAAAGGCACTGAGGCATGCACTGGAGTACTAACTTCACCTGTCCTTTATTCTGTTTTTCCTGTCAGTTTTCCCCTCACCACTTTAGGGATTTTCTTAAATATTTAATTTTGTTCTTTAGAAGCCTGAGATATTTTAGAAGGAGTCAGAACACATACACCCTGACACAGTTTAAGGCGCCAGCCTCTGCAACTCTGAGAATTACAGATTGGTCTGTGCAATATGTTTGATACTACTTAAAAGTCAGAAAGGCAGAAAGGGAAACATAAGGGAAAATTTGCGCAGAGGGTAAGGGAGATACGAGAAAAGAAAGGTACAGATGACAGTGGGTGGTATAATAATGCCACAATAAATTATACCCACTCTGATTAATGTTAAAAACAAACTTATTACTGCAGGTATGAAGCAAGCTGGAAAAAAAAATTTAAACCTAAAGAATGCACACTTAAGCAACATGTCTGAGGATGTATTTAGAAAAATAAGGAAAAAAGATATTTTCTTAAAGAAAAAAACTGTCTTGTAACCTTTGATTAATATAAGTACAGAAGGGCCAGTGCCTGTGTGGACTTGTTTAGAAACATACATGAAATGTTAGCTGCACAAAATATTCACTGAATTTTAGAGCAGGTTTTGTTTTTCGTTCGTTTTTAATGTCCTCAGGGTCTTGGCAGAGCTTTTCCTGTGGATTTCTGTAATGGTACTAGATTGCTCATCTGCACTTAGTAAGCTATTGGTAGTAGAGGGGTGTTTGTGTGTGTGTGTGTGTGTGTGTGTGTGTGTTTTAACTACCATCAAGAATTAGTCCATTTTACTAAAATGAATACCTAAATATTATAACTAAAGTTAATAATTTTAATAGGAGATAATTTATTCTTGGAAAGTATAGTTAACTCAGAACTATTTTAGTAAAATTAATTATTTATAAGACTTTGCTTTTTTCCATTCTAGTTGAGTTACAGACATCCTGCCAAAATGATTTCTTCAACGTCCAGATTTGGCATACCCTATGGCCTCAAGACTCTACTCGAAGGAATTAGCAGAGCCACTATCAAAAGCAACCCATCAAACATCAACCAGTTTGCAGTAGTTTATTTTAAAGAACTTACTATGTATAGAGAAGGTTTGTTATTCCTTTATATGTTTGCTACTTTGAAAAAGAAAACATGTTAAGTTGGGAATTTTATGTATCTGTATTTCCTGTATTCTTTCAGGGAATACTTCTCTGGATATAAAGGATCTGGTTAAACAATTTCATCAGACTAAAGGTAAGTACCACAAGTAGCAATAGTTTTAATAAGGATATTTATAAATTATTGCATCATTACTAGCATACATTCAAACTCAAGAATGGTGCCCACAAATTATTTTATGTTTAATCACATTGATCCTTTTTAAAAAAAAAAAGTTATTTTTTTAAGAGACGTGCTCTGTCACCCAGGCTGGAGTGCAGTGGCACCATCATAGCTCACTGCAGCCTGGGTCCAAGGGATCCTCCTGTCTTAGCCTCCCAAGTAGCTTGAACTGCACTTGTGAGTCACCATGTCCAACTAATTTTTAAAAAAATTTTGGCTGGGTGCAGTGGCTAATGCCTGTAATCCCAGCACTCTGGGAGGCCCAGGCGGGTGGATCATGAGGTCAGGAGATGGAGACCATCCTAGCCAACATGGTGAAACCCTGTCTCTACTAAAATACAAAAAACTAGCTGGGCATGGTGGTGTGCCCCTGTGGTCCCAGCTACTTGGGAGGCTAAGGCAGGGGAATCGCTTGAACCTGGGAGGCGGAGATTGCAGTGAGCCGAGATCATGCCACTGAACTCCAACCTGGTGACAGAACAAGATTCCATCTCAAAAAAAAAACAGTAAATAAATTNGATAACGGCAGGGTCTTGCTGTGGCCCAGGCTAGACTTGAATTCCTGGATGCAAGTACTCCTCCTGCCGCAGCCTCCCAAAGTGCTGGTATTACAGGTGTGAGGAGAATTTGATTGTATGAGATTACTTAGGGAGGTTGTATAAATACTTTTGTTGGAAGTTTTTTTGTTTTTTGTTTTTTGTGATGGAGTCTCACTCTTGCCCAGGCTGGAGCGCAGTGATGTGATCTTGGCTCACTGCAATCTCTCACTCCGGGTTCAAGCGATTCTTCCACCTCAGCCTCCCAAGTAGCTGGGACTTCAGGCATATGCCACCACACCTGGCTAATTTTTGTATTTTTAGTACAGACGGGGTTTCGGCGTGTTGGCCAGGCTGGTCTTAACCTCCTGACCGCAAGTGTTCTGCCCGCCTCAGCCTCCGAAAGTGCTGGGATTACAGGGGTGAGCCACCATGCCTAGCCCAGATAGTTGGCAAAGGCCAACCGCCCATTTTCTCCCTAATGGTGTAATTGCAGTCCAGGCTGGAGGACGGGAGATAGTTAGGTGTCTCTGACCACAATTTTTGCTCAAATAGTGTCTCTATTTATAGAGAGGTTTTTCATGGATAGTGGTCACCTCCAGCACATCTCAGACACTGTGACATAGTCTTGTGTATTTGCTTAGAAGAACTTTGTGTTTGGCGTGTATATATGTAAATGTCTGATATCTAATGTGAACATGACAGTATGAAACTCAGTTGACAGAGAAGCAATGAAAAAGTCGGGGAGAAATGAGGCAAAGTTTACATAGTGAAAATTTGGGAAGATCACTATAAACAAAAGAGGATATAATGGTCAGATCCCATCGAAGATGTACACATCTAAAAGAATGGCAAGAAAAAGCTTTTCACAGAATTTTGTGAAGAAGCCATATGGAGACTCCTCGCTAGTGTGAGAAATAATGAATTCTTACTATATTGGCTGGCCAACATTTTGGAAAGATCATAGAGAAAAAAGGATTCAGTGAGCTGTTAGCTACTTCTATACTGTCACTTTGGTGATGTTAATAGATATCCAAGGTAGAGAGAAATTATGGAATACGAACTAGGAAAATCCTAGAGGAAAAATCTTAACTAGGAAAATTGAGGCTTTGGGTCTGCAGTGAAAGAGATACTCAAGATCCAGAATAGCAAGGATCAGCATTTGAAGGGGCAAGAGAATGAAGCATTATGGTTCAGGAATATTTTCTCATCTAGTCTGGCTGCTTTCCTGCCGGCCCTGATGGCATTCTCAGTTCAGCACAGGAAACAGGTCTGGGACTTGCTTACCATCAGCAGGATATACAGACAAGTGAAAGAGCATTAATTCTTTCCCTGGCAGTGAGTCTGGTTTCTTTGTTAGTCGGGGTTATTACTGTCTGTGTACTTGTATCCTCTATACCAGGCACTATTTGAAAGTATTGGGAGTGTGCAGGCTTGCTGTTTGAGAATGGTGATTCAGTGAATCTTTATGGTGGAAGGTAATTAACTGGTTGCTTTTGAATTTGTTTACTGAAGGATTTATCCACCGTTCAGCTTAGCAAGTGGACTAAACAAATTAGATTCTGGTCTAGGTAGGTTAATATCTTTGAATCTCAGGGCTCAAAATTAACAGAATAACAAAATTAATGGAGCAGCCATCCTTTAATGGAGATAAAGGAGATACTGCCGGTTTTCTCCTCCAATAATTAAAGATATCGAGGAGGCTGACATGGTATACAGTAATCCTGAAAGCAAGTTCATAGTATAGTTGTAAAAATAGATTACTCTTTAGGCAGTAGAGTAGAAATAAACATTGCTTGTTGTAGTTTACTAGGAAGATGGGAAGGTATGATCAGGAAAAATAAGAGTTCAGCGCTACCATTTGGCTTATTTGTTGTCTGTCTTTTATTATCCCAAATGGTTTCTTACTGGACATAATCCATTAACTTAGGTCCTGTCATAGACTGCGTGAGTTCACCTACATCCAGGAAAGCATTACTCTGGGCTAAAGAGGTACTATCTAGTAATATACAGGCAAGGATCCTACTTTGTAGAACATAATTTGCCAACTGCTATTCCTGTAGAAGCTCTGGGTAAATTTGGTTGCATGGTTGGTCAGTTCTCCACAATAAAAATGTAGGTATAGGCCAAGCACGGTGGCCTACGCCTGTAATCCTAGCACTTTGGGAGGCCGAGGCGGGTGGATTGTCTGAGCACAGGAGTTTGAGACCAACCTGGCAACACGATGAAACCCTGTCTCTACTAAAAATACAAAAAATTAGCTGGGCGTGGCAGTGTGTACCTATAGTCCCAGTGACTCGGGAGGCTGAGGCAGAAGAATTGCTTGAACCCGGAAAGGCGGAGGTTGTATTGAGCCGAGATCAGGCCATTGCACTCCAGCCTGGGTGACAGAGTGAGACTCCATCTCCAAAAAAAAAAAAAAAAAAAATAAAAAAAAAAAAAAAAAAAAAAAAAAAAAAAAAAAAAAAAAAAGTTTTCTCTTTAAAAAAAAAAAAAAAAAAAAACTAGATATAACAGGTAGTATCTTCTCTTTTGTTAAATAGAACTTCCCCTTTGTGGATCCCAGTTTTAAACAACAATGTTGTTACCTATAATACCCTACATGCTCTGTTGGCCCCAAGGATTGAGGCCCTCTCAGACTTTGACTTGCAAGATGGGGAAACGAAGTATCCTTTGAGGACTAAGTCAGCTGACCCTTATTCTGGTCCGTCAGTCTCTTCAGCAGGAAGCTAGATCAGCCTAAAGACAGCACTAGATGTTAGAACTTGGTGACGTGAGCAAGGACTGACTGTCATCCCTGGTGCACTGGTTCTCCCTCATCTCTCAGATATCACATATGAGCATGAAAGATGTGTTTCATAAGAGTGCTCTGTGGGGATGTTGTATCCTCCAAAATTACTCCTAAACTGGTGAGTCTGCTGCCTAGCAGCATTACTACCAAGCTGCCTGTATGTATGGAAAGCATGGAGATAAGAATATCCCTGCCTGTATCATTTGCTTTTGTTGAATACTTCATTCTGGGATGAATACTTCATCCTAGAAAGAGCCCCGGGTTTGGTAGGCCTCATAAGACTTGATCACAGGACCACAGCATAGTGTTTACCCATTTTCCCAGTAGCTTCAAGACTTCATGCACAGTCAGGTTAATACAGAAGGTAAGAGAAGAAGAATCAGACAAGGGAGCAAGTTGTTTTTTCATCTTTTTCCCCCTTTTCCAGAGCCTAGTGTCTTTAGGATGGTCCCTGGCTCTATCCAGAGCCATGATCATTGTGTCATTTTGCTCACATGCCCATCTCCAAAACAGCTCATCCTTGAAGCTCTTTCTTGGATCCCATTCTTGTTTTTCTAGTTTTGTTAAACATATGCACACTACCATGTGAATCAATGAAAGCTCTCCCTTTTTCCAGCTTTTCAGAAGAGTTTCTTACATTAATCCAAATAAATCTTTAATTGATGGGATTTTAGAAACTCAGGCAATACTTTAAGGCAAGAGAGTCATTCCTTTAAATCCACCAGTTAGTATGTGCCAGGAAAAGAAGGGGAATAGAATTAATATTTATTAACTGTTTTGTCCTAGACACTTATATTTTGTCAATTAGACAAGATAAATTACATAATTGCAATTTTACTCAAGAGAAATCTGAGGCTTAAAGAGTGATTTTAAAACTTCTAAGCTTCTAAACAGTAAGAAATAGGTAGAGTTAGGATGTGAACTCCTTAGTAGTATGGTTCATGTTCTTCCCGCTCTAGAGTATATTACATTCTAGGACCCCTCTGGAAAAATCTTAGATCCTGAAACTCAAGGAGTGAAGGGAGAGGAATTTGAGCTCCCTTTTCTCCATATTGTCTCCCGCTATTTCACTTCTCCCTACCACCCCCCCCCACCTTTTTGTGTGGAACCTGAAGCCCAGATTATGCCGATTCTGATCTTTTCATCACTCAGTGAAGATGGCAGTGGTTTCTCATCACCACTATTATCTCTCATCCCCGACAGCCAAATTGAGTCCTGTTTCCAGTGTCATCCCTGTCTGATGTCACAGAGATAGGAAATAGCTACCTCATTTGAAGAATCAAGGAGACCTAGCCTACCTGGGTCCCTTAGTTATCTTGTGAACTTTTCTAAGTGATCCTGGACACTCTTGGCTTGGCCACATGAGAATAATTATAGTCAGGAACTGCTGCTGATCATTGGGCCTAATTGCAATTACTGTGCAGCACCAAAGCAGTTATGCACATCATCATTGTATTGAAATATTCATATTGAGCTTTTAAGTTCTTATGCCAATGCTTTTATTATGCCTTATTTTGATAGTTGGTTACACATACTTGTAACTATCCCTTCATAATTGAAGAAGGGATATATATGTATTTCAGGCT